TGTGTTCAGTATCTGAAACAAGAATTCAGCTTTCATACCAGTTTAGAAAATAGTTCACTCGATGTCTTTCATTGTTAATTTTCCTCCTTGATATTATATCAATCATTGTAAATCATTGAAAAATTTCACCCTCTTTCACCTGGAGTGATGTTTAAAAAAAGTAACACGAGTAATTGATTTAAAAATATTTTACGGTTTCTCATTCAGCAATTTATGTTATTTCCTCCTTAATAATATTAGTATATTTGCAACTCTTGACGAGTGCCAACACTTTAGACAAATGACTCGATATTAGATAGTTGCTTCATTTTATGCGAAGTGTCCTGCTAACGGTACTTGGCACAAAGACATTTTAAATATCCGAGATTCAATTGTTTGTTTATAGTTTGTCGGTATGTGAAAATACTATAAACATCATTCAAACGCGACGTAGTACATTTAAAACTGCGAATATTCTAGAACGCGTATCTCTCAATGACGTTGTTGAGTGTTTACGCAAATAATGTTGGTCACGTTGAATAATACGTAAGTACACAATTATCTGCACACATACGCGATTCATGTGCCCCGACGATGGCAAGTTAACTAATGATTCTGAAAGAGAAGAAGTTGCATAAGGCTGAAGACCTTGTGTCCATGCAAATTTGTAGTCTCCTTACTTCTATAGCTCACCGACAGTACAGCTCCGACATATTCCTCGCAGAAGAACTTTTGCTACTTCACCTCGAGAGTTGCCATTGATGTTCTTACCTAAAATAAGTATCACAGACATTTCACAGGTACCGAACAGAAAGATCTGTAAAATTAGTCCTGAAAAGAACACGTTCAACATTGCCCTGAAAAGGGCAGATGCGAACATTGTCCTGAAACGGACAGTTCCAAACATTGTCCTGAAAAGGACAGTTTCCTCCGACGTCATAGTGTCACCAGGACATTGTTTCCACGCGGTGAAGCATTTGCGGGCCCTGGGTAGGGCCCTAAAGAAAAAAAGTAAGAGGTAAATGGAGGAATATATGTGGACGGGAAAATGCATATAGTAGAGTATCAAGATTAAACAGGAACTGAAAATGATTCTCGTAGATCGGCGTCGAAGTACAAAGCCAGTTGGGCTCCATATTGATTTTCTCGTCGTTCTGCACTTTTTTTTTAGCGAAAACGAATAATACCAGGGGATTGACGAGGAAAAAGTGTTCAGGGTAAAAGTGAAACTATAAAAGTGGAAAGGGGTTGTTGTCTACGATATTGTCAGGGGGAACGTTTAAAAATCTTCTCCCTGTTTCCTTCTTCTTCCTTCATTTCGTTCGAGAAGCGTCTCAATCCGCGCTCCGAGTAAACGTCAAAGAAAAAAAACCTTCCAATGTTCGGTGTACCAATGTTTAGCTTCTGGTGTAACGGTGCCCATCACTCCATCTCTCTCTCTCTCTCTCTCTCTCTCTCTCTCGCATCGAACATTTCCTGGCGTTCCGTTACAGGGACAGAGAGAGCTTTCTCCTCGTTTCGTTTCAACATTCCGCTTCAAGATTCTCATCGCTTCTGCCACGAAACGTGATGTACAAGTAGTAAGAAGATATGTGCGTCCAGCGTTCGTCTTTCGAATTTTGCTCACGTGACTCACATGAACGCGTGCTTCCTCTCTCTCCCTCTCTTTGATAAATTCGATACAACCTCCCTTCTTCTTCTTCTTCTTCCGGTTCTTCTGTTTTATCTACATATACGTGTTACGCGGGAAGAGACGTGTCCTCTTTTATCAACGTGTGTCTGTATACGTGTCCTGTGTGTGTATGCGCCGGCGTACTTCTTCGTGTGTGTGTGTATATACGTGTAACGTTTGCTCAAATACTTCCTCCCTCGGCTACGTCCAATTCTGAGAAATATACATATATACGATGCTCAGAAAAAAACTCTTGTCCGAGTCTGCATTAAAAAAGATCCTCTCGTTAAATATGCTTCTGCCTCTCCAGACGGAAGAGGATCTGTCTTTATAGATACACATCTGTTGCTCCTTCGTCTTCCCGGAAGTTCGGCCCCTCCGCGCCAACTTATTGCACACCAGATTTTCTTCATCCGTTCCTTCGCTTTCTCTCGTCTTGTACTCTCTCCTTGTTCCTTCCTCGAAGCCACGTCCTTACACATGTACTCAGTCATCCTTCCTCGCACAGATACACGCGACCCATTCTCAACTGATTTTATACACAGATTTTTTTGGCGCTTTTTGTTCTCAAAAAGACATTTTTTTTCTGATAGTTTTTTAGAAATCCTCACACATTCGCTCCGACATCATGCGCGCGCTCTATCGTTCTTCCTCTCAGCCCGCCTGATCTAGAGATCCCGATCGTGACGACGATCGAGACCCTTCGAACAGCGTTTCCCCGTTCTCTCCGTTTCCGCTCCTCGTTTCCAAGATCGAAGCGACGATCCTCCACCTTGAAAGACGAAATCCTTCGAACTCCATCGTTCATCCTCATCCTCATCAGTGCTATGCTCCCTCTAACTCTACGTCCTCGTTCCAGGCACGCGTGAACCATCGCAGTTGCGTGCGCACACGTTCGAACGGTACCAAAATTACGATTATAAACGATTACCCTTTATAGGTAACACCACTCCCGTCCGATCGTCTACATTCAAACTGGCCTTTCGATCCTCCCCTATCTATCTTGCCCGGATGATGATCTCCATCGATCATCGCCGTGTTCTCGTTCGAAACCGACGTCAGCTGGTTTCCCATCGACGGGAACTTGTTTCCTCGTGTTTAATAGGAGATAAAACGGCAAAAAATAACTGTGTTCCTCTATCGAGCGCCTCGCGGTGGACGATTACGTTTGCATCCTTCAATAGTACTCTTCGCTCCTCCTCTTCATCTCGTTCGAACACATCCTCTTCGGCGACCTCCTCCTCAACGTTTCCCAGACGTGTTCGTCGAACGAACCAAAGACACGTCGGACGCGCAAACACGAGACGCTTGTTTTGTCAAGAAAACAACGGGATGCGCGTCGAAAGGTGGCCAATCGATGATCCGCAGATATTCACTCCATCTCGTCGATCGCGCCATCGTTAGCTCTTCCCGTTATCCTCTCGTCTCGTTCCCTCTTCAGTCTTCTTGGTCCTCCATTTTGCTTCCTTCGCCTTCTCCTCCAGTCTCCTCTCCGAATTCTCGAAAGAAAAATACCCGACAGGAGTTGCGTCCGGTCAAGAGATTTTATCCTTCCTGTTTTCTTCTTCTTCTTCTTCTTCTTCTCTTCCCCCCTCTCTTTTCCACGGTAAAAATATGATCGCGATCATGAGATCGTCGGTTCAACCGGAATGTATAATGTTAATGTATATTCTTCTCGATGCTTGTTACGGTTATATCTTGTTCGCAAATGGCAGATGTGACCAAGATGGCGGATGAGCTTTGGAATGATACAATGAAATCTCGTTCTTGCGCGTAACGACGGCGTGGTCCACGCCGAATGTCCTTTCTCCGTCCTTTTGCCACCTTCCCTTCGTTCCGCGATCAATCTTCACCCTCGTCACCTTTCGATTCGCGAGGAGGCCCGAAAACATCTCCGCTGATCCTCGTGCCCATCGAAGCGTCGGGGAAGCCTAGGGTGCATTTCAAAATGGCGCACCTTCGGACCGTTCCCCGAGAAATCCATCTTCTTCGGCT